AGTTCATGTTGAACGTGAATTGGAACTGAAATTTTGCAAAGTGCCTTCCGCATTGCTGTGCAATCGAGATAGAGTTAGTCAAAAGATTTGCCCATGTTTCTGTTTGCGCATATCGTTGCCAGGACAACAATACGAAACTGGCACAAGACCAAGCGACGGTTGATACTATGCTTCCAATAAGCCATTTGACAACTTAAAGATCATGTGAAATTTCTATAGTTATATTCCAGAAATAGCCCAGAATAATCTAAACGGAATTTATAGTTTTCCCAATATATTCTATAATTGTAAGAGAAGATTCAATAAAGGTCATTTCTGAAAATTATTTGGTCACAGATTAGATAATTTATGTAAATATGCAATGTAATAATATTCAATGACGCATTACTCTTCGTTTAAGAAAAATTGTTAGTTTTCTGTAGAATATAATATTGAAGTTTAGTTATGAAATTTACTACTTTGTCCTTGATTACTGCGGCAGGCCGAGAATTGCTATTTTAAGAAACAACTGGAAATTTCCTGTACTCAAAATTCAGGTTTCTCTCAAACTCACAAATATGAATTTAAATTTGCGTTTCTTCAAAAACGTATTACTTGACACAGATTAACTCATTCGGAGGGCAGCAGAATATTTTTTGAAATACACAAAATAAAGGTTTTAGGGATGGAAGATTATATAAACATTGAAAAAAAGTTCCAATCCAACAAGATGCATACGGCGATTCCGATTAAATCTCTTTCATGTTACATATTCTGCTGACCATCCAATAGTAGAAGTTTTCAAATTTGATTCATACACATTCTAATGCTGAGGAAATTATTTATAGAATTAATAAAAAAGTTACAAAGCTTTCTTTAGACTAAAAATGACAAAGTAATAAGAAGTTATACTTTATTTACACTAAGAAGGCAAACTACCGCTTTTTGTACTACTTATGCATTAAGAATAACTTTGGCAGGTTAAAGTCTGGGTTATATAGAGAAGATATCTGAATACTAGACATCATAATTTATGAAAGGCATGTAAGTAATTTCTTCATAAGTAGATTAACTGGAAAACATTAATGAGTACTATAAAGAAATTATATTTACTCACAGAAGAATTATCACCGCTTAAATGAACGTCATCAACGAGAACTGTATGTTTTTGAGTCATATTACAAGAATAATTTATAATTCCTTTGTCAAAGCGGTTTTGATAAATTTCTAGAAAGCATTTTAAGTGAACTCAGTGGCTGCTGTATTTATAAAGCATTTATCAAAAACTGCTGATACGAGTACGTACTTAGCAGATTCATTAATACTTCGATAAGTTTATAATGAGTAATACCTAAATATTTAAGATTCCAATCTTGATAGCAACACAATAAAAAGGATAATACAAATTTTCCCGAAAGTTATATGACTGGTTATTTAACTTTAAAGCAGTATGAAAATACATTCACTGTAGCTGACTTTGGAGAAGAAGCTACAGGTTATTTTTAGGAATATTGAGTATCCTCTTTTCCTGAAGTAAAGCAGCAGACAGTCAAAGAATACTAAGTGCCTGATTAAATTTCTTACGTTTCTTTAATGCAAATATTAAGTTAAATTATTTTTCATCTTAATAATGCTTAACATTGTATTGCTGGTAACATAACAGCAAACTAAGTATATCCTATTGCATTTTTACTAAAGTTACCTGGATAATCAGTTTTTCCGTTTATTTATGTTACTTGAGATAAGGGAGATTCGCAAGTTACAAATAATAATTTTCAACATATCATTTAGTTTAATATATTCGGGTAGATCTTTACTATTGGATTAAAAATAAGGCCTCGAGCAACAAGAAATTCCTAGCAAGTATTATACGTACCTTAGGAATGTTAGGTCATTTAGGGAGAAGTTTGACATAAAAAAACATATACATGTTTCAGGAATAATCAGTTATCGAATATTGATTATTTATATGAAATAATGTCGAGAACTTTGAGTGACATGACTTAGCAAAAACAGCTAAACAATATTAACGAAAATCACTAACCAATGATTAGGGAATATATCTGAACTTGAAATGCATATTCTTCACACACATAGTATAAGTATCCTTAAAGAGATCGTAGAGAAGTACAAGCACAGATCGTAAGACGATAAGTACGTGTGGTAAAGGGGAACTGAAGAAACCCATATCATTGCCCTAGAGAAACAACTAAATATACTCATTGCCATAAAAATTTGCGCACCAAGAAAGAGTTGTCAGAATGAAACGAAATTTTACATATGTAAGTACTACTTTGATATATGTAAGTGATTATAAAATAAAAAAGGATCATTTATTGCAGAAAAAGTACACATGAACGGAAGTTTTAGTCATCTGTTGGACCACCTAAATCACAAATGCACGATGCGATACGAGCGGGCATTGAAACATGAAAGTTCCGCATGGTGTCCTGAGACATCTCGTTCTACAGTTGCTGTAAACGCGCCTCTAGTTCGGCCAATGTCGTAGGCTGTCCAGCTTGCTGTCCCAAATGATCCCAGATATGCTCGATTGGCGACAACTCTGGGGGGTCGAGCAGGCCAGGTAAGGGTGTTAATGTGGCGGAAGCAGTCTTGTGAGACCCGTGTTGTGGGTGACGGAGCACTGTCTTGTTGAAACCAGGCTCCTGGGAGTCCTGCCATGAGTGTTAACACATGTGACTGAAGGATGTCATGGACGTACCGCTGGCCTGTCATTGTGTCATGGATCAATATTAGAGGAGTGACCGTGTATCGTAAGCAATGGCACCCCATACCATCACACCAACTGTGGGAACGGTGTGTAGCTGTAAAGCGAAAGCAGGGTTGAGGCGTTCACCACGAGGCCTCCATACACGAACACGATTGTCATTACTGGACAAATTGAATCTAGATTCGTCGCTGAAGACGACCTGGTTCCATTCCGTCAAAGTCCAATCCTGTCGTGCGCGACACCACTCCAAACGGAGGCGTCGGTGGGTAGGTGTCATTGGCAGCACACGTAATGGGCGCCGCGATACCACATGTCCGCCGTGCAAATGACGTCTCTTCTGTCCATTGGTTTCAACACCTCCTCACAATAAAATCAGAACGACCTACCTGACGAATTACTCGCCAAGGTGACCACTCAGCTTCCATCATCCCGATGATGTACCCTCAAATAAGTTCTGCTTACCTATTTTATGATCCAAGAAGAACGAAGTTCAGCGTCCTCTAGTGGCATTACGCAATGCGGAATCGCGCTGTATTTCTAATCATTTGCATATCTACCTGACATGTACCTACATGCCAAGTTTGTTACGCTCCCATAATTATTTCATGGTGCGCAAATTTTTATGGCAATGAGTGTATTAGAAAAATAAAAGATATAATCTGAAAACTCTAAAACTTGTCTGGAAGATACATTATGGTGAACGCAATGATGAAAAATTAATGAATCTAAGACGGAGGTCTAAATTTGAATCCACGGCATTCAAAGGTCTCCCATCGCGCATTCAATTTGGTATATGTGAATGGTGTTTAAAAAACCAAGAATCTAAATAGTTAAATAGGATCGGAAAATGACTCGAAGAATTTCCAAAATATGGCAGAATGTCATATAATGAACTGCACGAGTTTAGAATAAGTATACTCCATACTTTTGTCTTCAACCTTAAATCACTAAGATTATTCTAGAAGTAATTTTTCAATGATGTGAATGAATGTACTATCACCAACAGCAAAAGTGCATCGGGTTTCCAAAATTATTGCTACTATTTCTTTTTAATATTACCTCAGATATTATCTGCAAATATATCAGGATTACCGTTTTGGATGGTAGGAATAGTAAAATGTTTACACATAATCACACCGAAAGTTCTCTTTTCATACCACTAAACTTACAGTTTATGAATGATATTATACCACAGAAATCTGGAGATCTGACACTGTTCTCATGTACATTTTGATAATCTGCCTCTGTTCCTTTAGCTTTATTTAGTAACGAAAACTCTTTATAGAATGAAAAGCTTTGCAGATGCTTTTAAGAAAATCCTTTAAGCAAAAGTACAACAGATCTGTTTTTATTTCAATATGTTAACCATATCTATAAACAAGTCAATAAAAAAACGAATACTTCCAAATAATATTTTATGAGTAATAGTGAAAAATATAACCGCTTGAAACTCAAAATCCAGACTCATTTCTAACTTCGAATCCGAACTAAAGTTACCAACCATGAGAAACTCCCACATGACTCTTTAATGTACAAAGATTCGAGAATGCAGTAAATCTAACTGGCAACTGAAAGTTCGGAGAATTTCCAAGACCCAGTGATCCACTGCGAATACAACATTCTCCCAATTCTCATTGTCATTTCAGGCATGTTCTAGTTATAATAACCGTTTACACGCTACGTTAAATATATAATAGAGCGTTCTTCTTGTGAGTATTCAGGCGTTAAATGATTTTTATTTCGGTTGATCCCACTGTACGGAGGTGGAGGGTTATTTATCGGTGCTCTTATGTGAATCATTATTCTTCTCATAAAAATTGAAAGGGGTTATATTTTTATTGGCAAACTCCAGCTAAGTTATTGTTTGGAATATAAAAACTGAATTTCTTTGTTATTATGAGGTTGAAAATAAATGGACTTGTTACAAATAAGGCCAAGAAATCATCAGTTCAACAAAGGATCGACCTTTACACATTCTGATAAAGTGGTATAAGCAAAAATTAAAATCTTATCCCTGGCAAAACGTTATACTCTTTCAATTCTTGATATATAACAGAATATCAATCATTTGTCATCGATAGCATTATAATGAATGCATCGATCTGTGAAATGAGAGAGATAATCGATTGCATTTCTACAGACAAAGATAAGCAAAATAAAAACAGAAGTTATCACCTCTAAATGTCCTTGTTCTTTGGTTTACATTTCTGATGCTTTATCCATTAAAAGTGATACTTCTTCATAATAGATAAAGCTGTAGATATATATGTGCGTGTGTGTGTGTGAGTGTATTAATCACTGCAATTACCCTCTACAATATTTTCATTTTTACTTTTGAAGGCAGCATTTACACAACTCAACTCAATTCATCCTATCCCATCTAATTTCTTTTCAGTCTTTTGCGGAAATATGTGCGGTGGATAAGGACCAGCTATTCTAAACAGGTTTTCATTTTCCTTTTTTATTCCATTCGACTTATTATTTAATTAATTCTTTATAGCAAATTTCGGGTTATTACCTATTGAATTATACCCGAAATACATTTTATTAACATAACCAAATTTAAGTTGATTGCCTTCAGTTCTTTCATATAGATTTTTCCCTAATTACTTATTTTGGAAACATATTATAAAAACATTTTTTTGAAAGATTCTAATTTGTTTAACTTTTAGGTAAATTACCTTCTAAAATAATCTGATTTTGTTTCCTTAAATTTTGACATTAAAATTTAATTACTTTTGTTTTATAATACAGTGGTTTTGCCATATCTTAGCTTCAGTATTAATTGCAAGAATGCTAATTTACCCAATTGCTTTTAATTTGCCAAGTTAATTTTCCATTTTATAATTTCGAAAATTGTAGTTTCACACTGTTCAATTTTTGTATGATTTGCTTAGGTTCACGTCAAAGCAGATTATATATTAATGATTGATTAAAATACCTTTTTAAGTTAATTTTTATGTACATTTGTAATAATATTACATAAAATATTTAATGACATTACCATATTATATTATATATTTATATATATATAGAGAGAGAGATTTAAATTGCATTTAAATTTTTTTTTTAACCACACATGTTCTGGTTTATTTCAGGAATTATTTTTTTGACAATCATGCAGATAGAACCAATAAATGTCGCTCTGTTGAAGCTTTTTCTGATATCCCTTGGAAAGGACCAAAGAATTTTCAACTATTTGTTATACTGCATTATTATTGTTGCGTTCGTATGAGTTCGTAATAAATTGAATGCACAACTCCGATTAAAAGTGAATAAAATTTATTCTTATCCCAAAACTAAAATACAAAATGCTTAAATTTCTTCAGAGATATTCGTAAAATATCGCAATATCTCACAGTAATTGTCTCACAGTCCTGAAATAAACCAGAACATGTGTGGTTAAAAAAAAAATTTAATGCAATTTAAAACGTTCAACAGAACTTAATTCAAAACAGAGAAAGCTAATTCGATCTCACCGCGAATTCGGTACAATAAACCACAAGAACTAAGTAAACAACTGAACGGAAATGTTTTCCTTCCGCTTTTATAAGCTTTTTAATCAAGCACGAGAATATTCTGGTATTTTCTCGATTTTTCGGGATAGTAAAAGAGTACAGTTACGAGATATCTATTTATTAAAATGTTAAATGCGCATGCTCCTGTATGCTTTCCCGGGGTAGCTTTCTCTTCAACTAAGTCTCGTGCTGCATTGCACTGGAATATAAAACAATTTTAATTACAAATTCTACTAAAATAGCTAAATAAAAACAAAATCCGTAACATTATATTATTGTATTATTTTTTGTTTAAATTTTGATTTATATATTTCCTTTTAGTCAGTTTACCACCATTATTGGTTTAAGTATTATCTCTTGATTATCGAATTAATTTCTCATCATATTGCACGACTTTAATGATTAATAATCTTAATTTTTATCTGCGTGTGTACTTGCGGGTGTGCATATTTAAACTAGTACAGGTTGAAATATATTAATGAAAACATATTTACTTTATTTGCAAAATTGTAAGATTCAGTTATTTTAAATTTAATTTTTAGTTTTATCACATTGTTCATTGGATAACTCTGAAATATGTTTATCTATTTACGTTATCACATGACACTAACCATCATGAAGAGCGGTTATGAGATACGGTTATGAGCGGTTATCTCTTGAATGGTTAGTCGCAGATCCATTACTAAGATTTAATACATAAATAGAATAAGCATTCAGATTATTAAGAGTTTAATGAAATGGCGCTTCAGTAAGAACATACTAAATTCTTTAAAAAATATCGAGAAAAATATTTTCTCCACAAGAATTAGTTACATCAAAAATCCCTCCTCATGAGATTACGTTCAGATGACATTAATTAAAATTTTTGAAAGAGTATGCATTTAATAAGATTATAATTTATATAATAAAAGTTATAGATATTGCAATAAGTATCTCTAGATGCTAATTCTTTTAACCAAATTTCGGAAAGATACTTTTTATAAAATTCAAAATACTGTATTGAATGAAATTCAATTCTATGCGATCTGCTAAATAAAATTCTATTCTTCAGGCGAATATAGTTCCACAAAAATGCAAGTTTGTTTCAGAACTTGCTTTTCATGTTATGGGAAGAAACATTTAAAAATGATTTTAAGTAAGGTAATAGGCAACTTAATAAGTGAAACTATCTTCTTAGAGGAAAAATATAAATATTTTAATCCCGTAAACACCACATAACGAAACTTATCGTACCCTGAGAGTCTATCTTCGCTGATTCAGTTTCCATTCCGAAATCTTAATGTAACGCCAATCTGCTGAAGTGATATTTATTTGCTAATTCTTTAAATAGTTTATAAAACAATTTATTCAAAAGAGACACAACTATCGTAAATTAAAAATGAGCAAAGTTTTATAAAATGCATAGCAAATTAAAAATGTCATCTAGAAATGAAACAACAGAAGACAAAAATATCAAAATACTTATTCAGAAGTCAAACAACAAAAATCAGCGTTATATTTACAAAATTTTCACAGGACTAGTTTCGATGGTTTTACCGAACCATCATCTTCAGCTGCAAAACCGCAAATGAAGAAGATAGGAAATAATGATTAGATAAGATAAGAAAGCCTGGACAAGAATAAGCAAGTGGCGCCATCTGTTGGCGAAACCAGAACTAGAACATAATTTCTCTAAAAGCCGAGGGCAAATTTGGATTGGAATTAGGATCGTTAACTAGAACAGAAAGATTTTTATGAATGTGAAATGCCTCTAGAAAATCCAGTTCTCCAATGGAAGATGTTTTTTGAATAATTTTGGCAGCAGAAAAATTGAAAGTGTGATTTTCGGACCAACAATGTTGAGCAACAGGTCTGTCGCTGATTTTTGTTGTTTGACTTCTGAATTAGTATTTATTCGGCGTGTTATTGTGTCTTAATTATCAAAATACTTATTTGAACCACCAGTAAAAATTTAAAACTTCTTGAGAAAGTAAATATTTATTAAGTATCTACGAGTAGTGTATATTTATTATTTTCTATTATTCTCTGTTTTTCAGACATTTTATTATTCTCTGTTTTTCAGACATTTTATTATTCTCTGTTTTTTCATGCATCTGAATTATTGTTTTTTACCCACATGCATTTATTTGAATTTTTGTTGCTTTTTACTTTAGTTCCTTTGACAGATTCGCAGTATTTTTTTCTCTCTCACATCAGTTTTGTTACTGTACTTCTTATTTAATGTACACTTCTTAATGGTATTTCGTTGGATTGGAAGGGAGCATTGCTATCTTGTTGAACATATAAAATTAGTTTACTTCTCCATTGTTAATTTACATTAATTACACAAATCATACTTATGATCTTATTTTCATAAATTTACTGTTTGAATTAAGCTGATTTATGGTTTTGAACGTGTTCATAACTTCTGTCGTTTCCTCAAATTGTTAGTTATGTTAGCCAAATACTCTTCAATTTTCTATAGAATTTTCCCTATGAAGCTTTAAATTTATTCTAGCTGGGGATCTTTTTAATTTCAATATCTGTTTTTCCAGTTATATATAGAAGTATACAATGTGGCATTGGTTATCGAATTATTTCCTAATGAAAGAGTAGTCATAGAATTTAAATTCGTTATGACTCGAAATAAGATCCTTCTGCATCATTGAAAGCTGTGAAGGGATCAAATAATGGAAGAAAAGACTTTGAAAAGAGCTCTGTTTTTTGTATGACTAAACGAGAATGTCATTGTTTTTTTCAGCGTAATTTAATGTTAGTTACTTGAGTTCATGCACGATGTTTTCGACCGACTTTGTGCTCTAAATGAATGTTTATTTTTAATTATTATATGTCTCGTTAATGATCTACATATCTGCACATTCAAATGGATTTATTTACCAGAACATAAATGGATAAATACATAATACTCAATAAAGGGAACTAATAATGAACGTGAAATCGTATAGACAGAATAATCAATAAAACTTTATTTAAAATTTTATCCGTTAAAACTGTTCACTAGATTTTTATTCAAATTTATTTATCAGATAAAACCTTATATGTACATAAGTAAAATTAAAAATGTGTGTGTGATTATGGCAAAAAGCCTCGAGGGCTATCTGCCTAAGGGGAGGGATGTTTTCGTGGAGGACTTTCTAATGGAAACTGGCTCGTATACACGTTACACATGGGGAAAACCACAAAAACGCCCATGCAGCCAGCACGTTCGCGGGATTCGAACCTCGGACCGAACTACCAGTGTTCAGCGACTTTACCGCTCGGCCGCTGGTGGGCCTAACATGAAAAATGAAGTCAAAATTGTGCCTAACTCTTCCATCAAATTTAGGGAGTATAGTTTTGAATTTAAATTCCGTGTTTTTTCGTGACTGTATTCTCACATATATATGGAATTTTGAATTGACTCTAAATTAAATTCTGTTATTCTTTTTTATATTTTAGTTATTATATTCCATATTTTATTTGGAATGTTTTCTTCTACTAGTGACTAATTCCTTTCTTATTTACTCTTTTACTATTAGAGAACCTTGGCAAGCACTAACTCTTGGTTTTCATACAGTACTTTCACATACTCTCATCTTGGATTTACAATATATTTTCGAAATATTTTGCAGAATTGATTATACTGTTTATTTATGTGTGAAATACATTTTGGGTTATTTTTTATTACTTTCCCATCATTCGAGACCAATGAATGGTATTTAAAAAGCAGCTTAAGAAAAAAAATCAGCATATGGATAAATTAGAAATTATATATATATATATATAAATTGCAGGACTGCGACAACTCAACACGACTAACGGTATTGCAGTCAGATGGATGATGGAAGATAAGGAGAGCAGTCGTGCTTTAGACTAAGACGTAATGATTAAACAACGAAGATGTAACCTCTCAATCATCACTCTTTTTTTTTTTCATTTGTAAATAG